CAAATCAAATTGTATTAGCTACAGCCCTTGTTAACATTACAGGTAGCAATGGTCAAATGCACACTGCTCGTGTGCTTTTAGATTCCGGGTCACAGGTAAACTTTATAACAGAGGAGTTATCCAAAATTCTAAAACTTAAGCGCGATCGAAAAGACACAAACCTTCTTGGAATAGGTCAATCAGCTGTATCAGCTCGCCATGTAGTTCAAGCAACTATACACTCCAGAACACAGGCATTTCAATTGGAAGCTGACCTTATTGTTCTGAAGTCAATATCATCGTCCCAACCAGAGAGGGCAGTTCAAGTGTTAGACTGGAACCTCCCTGATAACATAAAGTTAGCTGATCCACTGTTCCACAAACCTCAGAGAATTGACATATTGCTTGGTGCTGACACATTTTTCGAGTTGTTAAAGGAAGGGAAATTCAAGCAGGAAACATATGGTCCAGTCCTACAAAATTCCGTTTTTGGATGGATCGTATCAGGTCGGTGCAAGTCATCAAAAACAAATTTCAAACAGGCTGCCTCATGTTGATTCGAAAATTCTGGGAAATAGAAAGTCTCCCGAGCATTGCACAGAAAAAACTTTACATGCCGGAGCAAATTATGTGTGAAAAGGCATTCATCGAGAGTATTGTTCGGTTACCCTCCGGTCGACTTCAAGTTTCATTGCCATTTAAGTCCAGCCCTACTTGTCTCGGCTCGTCGTTTGAAATCGCAAAAAGGCGGTTCTTAGCACTAGAAAGGAGGATGTCCAATAACCCAGAAATAAATTCCATGTATGTTGCTTTTATGAAGGAGTACATTTCCTTAGGGCACATGACGTTGGTCAATAATGAAATTCCTACTGAGCCTCATTTCTTCATCCCTTATCAATGTGTGCTCAGGCCGCAAAGTTCAAGCACTAAACTTAGAGTGGTTTTCGATGCATCGAGTAAGACAAGCTCTCAAGTGTCATTGAACGAATTGCTGATGATCGGACCAACTATACAGCCGTGTCTATACGCGACATTGCTAAGGTTTCGTTTTCGCAAATACGCTATTACAGCAGATATCGTCAAAATGTATAGACAAGTCGAAATAACTGAATCCCATCGTAATTTTCAACTAATAGTATGGAGACAGTGTAAGGATGAAAAATTACAAGTCTATCGTTTGAATACCATTACATACGGCACGGCCTGCGCACCATTCTTAGCTATCCGCTGCCTCAAGTACCTCAGTGAGATATATTCAGTTTCCCACCCTCTAGGATCCTTAGTCTTATCGAATAGCTTCTATGTTGACGATCTTTTGTCAGGCGCGGATACAATCGAAGAACTTACGTCGATGCGAAACGAAGTAGTTGAAATCTTAGGCTCGGCCGGGCTTGTTCTTTCGAAGTGGGCAACCAACTGTGAGCAGTTAATAGATCTTAATCAGTCTACAGATGTATCTGTCGGGGAGCACGAAGATACAAAGGCGTTAGGCCTTGTTTGGAACCCAAAACATGACATCTTTAAGTTTTCTTCGCGAGATATGTGTACAAGCCATGCGCCAACAAAAAGATCTATGTTGTCCCTTACTGCTCGCCTATATGATCCTCTCGGGCTTATCTGTCCTGTGGTCACAAAGGCCAAAATTCTCATCCAACAGATTTGGCTGCTCAAGATAGAGTGGGATGATCCAATTCCTGAAAGCCTTCAGCAGAAATGGCAATCGATCACAATTGGTTTGGAAGAGTTGGATATATTGACAATTCCAAGGCATGTAGGTACGACAAAAAATACCGTATGTCAAATACATGGCTTTGCGGATGCCTCAACTGAGGCATACGGATGTTGCCTGTACATCCGTGTCGAACATCCACATGGTGTGGAAGTTAAATTGCTTACTGCAAAATTAAGAGTGGCCCCTCTGAAAACAAAGTCGGTACCACGACTGGAGCTTTGCGCGGCGCACTTGCTAGCCAACTTGTGGGAAGAAGTTCGTCCATTGATCGACTCTCCAGTTGAACGAGTTGTAATGTGGTCCGATTCAGAAATCGTCTTGTATTGGCTGCAAACACATCCTTCAAAACTAAAAACCTTTGTTGCCAACCGCGTCAGTGAGATTCAAGAGATGACCTCATCGGCTAGTTGGCGCCATGTACCCACTGACAGCAATCCAGCAGACTTTCCATCTCGGGGTTGTACAGTTAATGAATTAAAAAATTCATTTTGGTTTGATGGTCCCCACTTCTTGACTCAAGATCAAAGGCGTTGGCCTCAAAATACAAAAATTCAGCAAATCAACACTAACGAAGAGTTAGAGATTCGGAATATAACTACTAGCCACGTTACAACACAACTCGAGCCGAATCCGATAGAATAAATTGTCGAAAATTCATCTTCATTTCTTAAAGTAATGCGCATTGTTGCGTACTTCCTACGATTTGTTAACGCATCAAAATCTCGCTCGTGGTCTTCGCTAAATCCTACCTCGGTTGAGCTCGGCTCGGCCTTCTTACTTGTTGTAATCGTCATCCAGCAAAATGCATATAAAAGTGAACTCATAAAATTACAAAAATCAGTTAAATTGCCAGACTCACTTCAAAAATTAAGTCCATTCGTTGTGACGGAATCAATCGGAAAGCTCGAGGTGTCTTTGTTGCGAGTAGGAGGTCGATTGTTCAATGCACAGTTAAGCTACAGCGTAAAGTTTCCGCTTCTTATGCCAAAGGGCAACAGATTCGTGAGTTTATACATTCAACATCTGCATAGAACAAACTGTCATGCAGGACCCAGAGCATTGGTTGGTCTTATTCGCCAAACAATGTGGCTCATAAATGCTAGGCGCGAATGTAGCGCGGTCGTACGACAATGTGTACATTGCTTTCGATACAAGCCAAAATTAGCTTCACAAATAATGGGTAACTTACCAGCCGACCGTTTGATAGGAACAAGGCCGTTTGCAATTAGTGGAGTTGACTTATTTGGGCCGATTCGAGTATCGCTAGGAATTCGTGGCAAGCCTCCAATCAAGATGTATGTATCGATATTCATTTGCTTCCTGTCAAAAGCCGTTCATCTTGAACTTGTAAAAGATCTCACCGCTAATACATTCATTATGTGCTTATATAGATTTGTCGGAAGACGTGGACCCATCGAAAAATTGTATTGCGATAACGCCACGAATTTCTCGGGCTCGTCTCGCATCATACATGACCTAATGAGCAAATTGGAAACCCATAAGGACGCAATGACAGCATTCGGAGCACCTCGCCGATTCGAATTTATCTTCATCCCTCCCAGAGCCCCACATTTTGGAGGGCTTTGGGAGGCGGCCGTTAAATCGGCTAAACACTTGTTTCTCAGAGCTGTGGGTGACGCGTTACTAAAGGAAGACGAGCTCCAGACGGTGATCGTAGAAGTTGAAGCAGTGCTGAATTCGCGGCCGATTATCGCGGACGGCTCAAGCCCAAACGATGGTGAAGCTATAACCCCTGGGCACCTCCTCGTCGGGACCAGTTTGGCGACCTTGCCTCCAGCATCCGCTCAGGCAAATGTGGAACCGAATTTATCGTTTCTTCAGCGCTGGCATTTGGTGTCTGCGATAAAACAACGCTTTTGGAAGGATTGGTCACGAGACTTCTTGTTGAGCTTACAACAACGCGTGAAATGGAATAAGGAGTCGCCAAATGTAACTGCTGGAACCGTTGTCGCAATTCAGGAGGACAATCTGCCACCTCAGACATGGCTTCTGGGCATCATCACTGAAACGATTACAGGTGCTGATGGAAGGGTCCGAGTGGCCATCGTAAAAACTAAAAATGGAATCTACAAACGTGCTATCCATAGACTAGCACCATTACCTATCAATTGAAGCCCTTCGGCCATTCAACGCGGCCGATGTTTAGTCGTAACTTGTTTAAAAAATAATAGGTAAGGGAAATACGTAGAACTCGCAACTTGGGCTACTTAGCTATGAGACGGGGCATAGCAAGCTACGAGCAAATAAAATAACCCCCAACGAGCACGAGCTGCAAGATCTCTACGTGTGTTCCTTACTCCCATACTTATGAGAAATATTTGAATTGTACCGCCTAAAAATGTTATCACTCTGTTAAGTAGTAAGTAGTACTCGCTCTTGTTACTCGCTGCGTCGCAGTTTCGAAGAAAAGAATAGAAGGAGCAGATAGAAAACAGTAATAAAAGAACTTGGATTGAATTCGTTTGATGCGTTGTTACTGGGACCATAGTTGCTGGCCTGAAACAGGCATTTTCACAGTTTGCCAATTTGGAGCAAACAGATGGATAAAAGAAGTGACAATTAAAATTAAATTAAATTAAAATTAAAAATAAAATTAAAATTTAATTTTTTATTAAAAAAAAAAAAATTTGGTGAAACATGATTTTTTAAGAAAATATAAATTTATTTATAAAAACAAAGAGGTAAACAAAAAAAAAATTGTATATGTGGAAAAATAGTACGTTTTTGACCCGTACTTAAGCTATTCTATCTTCAAAAACACGAAAGTTGGGTAATTTCCGATCGTTCAGTTATATGGCAGCTATAGGATATAGTCGGCCGACCCTTATGAAAGTTGGTAGGTTGGATCAACTGACCAAAAATAGAATCTGTATTAAATTTCAGCTTTCTATCTTCAAAAACACGAAAGTTGGGTCATTTCCGATCGTTCAGTTATATGGCAGCTATAGGATATAGTCGGCCGATCCTTATGAAATTTGGCATGTCGTAATGTTTTGCCAAAAATAGCACTCATAGAAGTTTGCGTAGAAACAGACAGACGGACATGCTTATATCAACTCAGGAGGTGATCCAGATCAAGAATATATATACTTTATAGGGTCGGAGATGTCTCCTTCACTGCGTTGCACACTTTTGGACCAAATTATAATACCCTCTGCAAGGGTATAAAAATATGTGACGATATAGTTATTGTTAGTGTCGAAAATGAAGATTTAGGAAATAAAAGCAAGTTGAAAAAGAAAATAAACAATAAATAACATTGTATAACCTGTATATAATTGCACTGTCAGGAAGGTAGCCATTGTGTTGTTGGTAAGCTTTTAGAGCAATCTCAAAAGATGCAGCTAATCCATTAGAAATTTCTTCTCCTTTAGTTTGGATAACAGCTTTACTGTACCATTGCGTGTAGGAAGAATCCAAGGACGCAACAAAAGCTGAAATTGACAAAAAAAAATGTAAGCATTAAAAATCTTTAAAAATTGTAAAACAAGATACATAGATAGATAAACATATAGTTTTCTCACTTTGCCGTATTCGGACATGTTTCTTCGATCGCTCTCGCCAGATTGCATTTATCTTCGATCTTAGAATTAAAGTTTTTTCCTTACGCAACAAGTGGAAATATTACGATGAATTCTAAAAATATATTTGACTTAAAGTGTTATATACCTTTTTTATTTTCAAAAAATCGAAAATTTTCGAACAACTCCTAGAGAACATTTTCCCAAATTTTCAGAGATTCGAGCAGTAGAAAAAAAGTTACAGCGCTCCTAACAGCGCGCCTCGTTGCGGCCTTGAACTGAACTTGAAACTTTAAACGGGAATATCTCGAAATGGTGTTTCTTGAAAAATGACTTTGCGGTGATATGGATTGGCGGAAAACTACTGAACCGAATTACAATTTTTTTTTCAAATGTTCGTAATGAAATTTTTCTGTGCTTGAACTATCGACTTTTCACTTTTTTTTCGCTGAAATGAATTTTTTAGTGATATTTCTAGAGACCAAAAAGTTCATTTTTAGCATAAAACGTTCCCATATGCTTAAAAAAAAATCTTAAAAACGATCGTTCAAGCACAAGAAATTTCACTAAACTAATTACATTTTTTTACTTTTATGGTTTAAGTTGACCTGTTCGACCTGGGGAAGTATCACCGCAAGGCTCTATAAAAAAAGGCCTCTAAGGGAATCAGCCACCCCTTAAAAACTATTTCATATTTTTTCACGAAATGTTTCACAAACATTGTTAATAAAGTGTACCATCAAAAAATTAAAACATCCGTGTAATTAAGTAATTGCTACATACCTAAAAAAAACCTTGCTACATACCTTGTCTTCGACAACGAAGGTACATATATAACCTTTTAATAAGTTCATTGAAGTATTTATTTCCTTTATATACTTTTAATCTTTTATAGTTATTTCTGTTGCGCTTTAACTACATTCTCCAACATAAAGTCTCTCCGAGCTGCACTCTCTGGACGTAACCCGTTACATCGTAGTTACTGTGGAGTTTTTTGTTCTGCATGACGCCTAGCCTTCGTTGCACATCTCTTTTGTAACAACGTCTCTTACATCTGATCTGATCGACTACTCTCGGTTACAGAGTGCATACATATTTAAATTCTTTACACTCAACTACAGTGGTCAGCAATCCGTCAACAATGAGTCTAATTTGCACAGCCAAAAAATGTAAATTTGGTGGATCCATCACGGGTGACTCATACCTGTCTTGCTGGCTTTGCAACATCTGCTCACATATTGAATGTGCTGGAGATGGGACTCAATGGACGGATAAGTGACCTTATGAACAAGAAAATTGGCCTGACCTGGTCTTGCATCGCTTGCAGAGAAATCGAGTCAGAGATGCGGACTTTTATGAAACAGATGAGAAATGGTTTCCTTGATGTTCGCAAGCAATTCTCAGCCCTTCAATTCCTTGCGTTTGAAACCCAATTCCTTGGTCTAAAGTTGTTAAGGGGTTACGCCACCCTGATCGCGTGGAAACGGGACGGTTTTTCAGGAATTTCTTGTGACTCAACTAGTTGAGATAGGATTTTTCCACTTTTATTTCTATTCATTACAACTAATGAGCTTTATAAATTCCAAAAACTTGTTTTCAATGCAAAATGGCGGAGATATGAACATCGGCGATCATAGGTTTTTCCGGAGTGCTCCTTGATGGTGGGCATGATTCACGTGTCAATTTTTATCTCAATCAAGTAAACAACATTTTTTTTTTAAAAGTGATAAATTTGGAACAGAGTGACGTAGCCGTTTAAGAAAAAAAAAAAATTACGCACATGAGAGCACTTCAAAAATTGACTCAATTTTTTGGGTAAAAAATTTCGTACTAAAAATTGCATAAAAAAATTTCTATCCATTGGATCAAAAAAAATCCTACGTCACTCTGTGGAAAATCGATGTAAGAAGATGTGTTTCAATTTTCAATCGGTTGAACAGTTTTTGCGTTATCATTCCCACCGTCTTGAAAAAAGTGGTTTCGAGAAAAACGCGAAAGAAGAAAAAGAAGTGTCTTAGGTGCCCTCCTGGGTGTTTCAAATAAACATAACTTCCATAATTATCAAGTTATTGTCTTCGGGGACGTCTTAAAATACGCGTAAGAATATAGTCTTTTAAATTAAGTAAAAAAAATTGAAATTTCTGGGTGGCGTAACCCCTTAAGGGGTTATATTAAGTTGTGATCTATAAAAAGAACGATTTTTTTTTTATTGCATATTCTTTAAGTATATTCTATTGGAAATACTCTCACAAAAATTCATAACGATCGGAGCATTAGAACCGAAGCTGTAGCTATTTATAGCGCACTATCTGCATATAAAACTTTAAACGCGATTATCTCAGAATCTTTTTTTTGGGAAATTACCTTTGCGGTGGACACGATCACTAAAAAACTACGAATCCGATCAACACCAAATTTTGACCACTTATTTATTATGATATTAGCTAGTCCGTGAACGAGAGATATTCAATTTTTTTGAAAACTCCTTTTTTAAAGCACAAAAAAATAAAAATCTTTTTTGAATTTTGGATTTCGTATGAAACGTTTTCGAGAAATCATGTCCACCGCAAGACACCATCGAAAAAAGACGATCCGGGAATTCGGCTATAACATTTTTGTTATGTTACATTTTTTTATGAAAAAATTTAATTAAGTACCCAGAAACATGTGCTAAACAACGTCGTTAGAACATTTTTCATAAATATTTTCTATGGTGTCAAAAAAAAAAATCGATAAAAATCCATATTTATGCGCGGTACAACTGTATATAACCCCTTAAGGGGGCACATCTGAGTATAGTTTTGAAAAAGTAAACCTTTTTTATTTTTTTAAACCGCTTAAAAAATTCTTTAGGGTCTTAAAAATAACATATTAAAAGATAGAGTCCGGCAAAAGTGTCTAAGTGTCGATTTTTTTCATTCTGCGGCGATGTCTTACAGGTATATACCAAAGTACTTAAAAGTTTAAACGCGTTTTTCTTGAAACCATAATACAATTATACAGGGTGACAATAAATAACCCGGGCAAACATTTTTGATCATAACTTTTTAAGGAACTGTATTTGAGAAAAAATGCAGATACACAACTTTTAAATAGGTATTGTGTTAGCATATATTCAGCCAGTTTCAAAGTGGCTTCCTTGGGCTGCGATGCAGAGCCCTAAACGTTTCTGGAAATTTAGCGCAATGGGCCGCAGGGGTTCTTCCGATAATCGATCCCATTCTCGGAGCAACGATTGCTTCAGCGCCTCCAAACTTATGTGGCGTTTAGCACATGCCCTGGACTCCAAAATAGACGACACTCTGTAGTGCATCGGATTAAGATCTGACGAGTAAGGTTACCATTCACTGGATGTGATAAAGTCCGGAAAATTGGCTTTTGAAAATTGGCACCAGTCCTGAGTCAATTTGGCTCTATGGTCTGGCGCTGAATCCTGTTGAAACGTCCACTCCGTATCACCGAAGTGCTGCTGGGCCAAGGAAGCACAACAGTTTCCAAAATGTCCCGGAGGTACACTTCCTGATTGATTTTGACCGATGAAAACGATGAAATGATCGATTAAAACAAGGGGTGTTTTACCGGTGGCGCATATTCTTCCCCAAACCATTAAAGACTGCTCACATTGACGGCGCTCGATTATTGCATAGGTACCTGTAGCTTCAACCAGCTTGTGTCATTTTCGTGATTGTGCGCCTGTTGAATGGTGAATATCTTCTCGTCCGTGAAAAGAATACGCTCCCATTTTTGACCTTAGGCCCGACGCTTTAGCTGACGGCATCTTTGGAGTCTCACGCGCTTATTATAATCCGTAAGAAGATGCACTTTTTGCAGCTTGTAGGGTTTGAGATTAAGTTCATTTTTTGCAATCAACCAAACACTTTCTCGATTCATTCTCGACGAGACTCTGCAATTCCGAGTGATCCTCTTTTTCACGATCTGGCGAATTCTGAAAGTGTTAGCGGTGCAAGGTCTGCCTCGTCTGGGACTCATTAAATCGCCGGATATCATCAGATACCGTTTGTTTTGGTATGCCAAGCAAACGAACAATGTCGCATTGGCGATTTCCTTGTTGAAACAGTTTTTAAATTGCACAACGATTGTTAGACATCCCGAAACAAATATCAAATTGATGGGAATCACAAAAATGTAAATATATTTCTTTCAGAAAAGTACAAGCTATCGATAAATGCATTTATTTAAGGGTTATCATAACACATTTATAATAGATTGCTTCAAAGTTTGTCCGGGTTATTTATTGTCACCCTGTACAAGGTAGTCCATTCGTAGAATTATAGTCCCTTATTGTATAATTGTATCATGCTTGAAACCTTTTATTTTGGGATGGCCGGAAACTTAACTCGAACAACTTTTAGTCCATCGATCTGAGATTTTGACAGTACATATATTCAAAATACCTTTGTCTATCGACACCCCTTTTTTTTTGTATATTGCTTACTTTTTTTTTTTTTATAAAAAATTTTGACTTTTTTTTGTGAAAATGTTACCTTTTTTTTCAATCACTCACCATTTTTAAAAAATCTATATATTACAAAAATCTTACGTGTGTCGATAGCTGTTGATGTATAGCAGGGGTCGGCACGGCCATATCTCGGGGGCATAGGAAATTTCTCTGCCCGAGCTCTGCCACACACACACAGTATAAATCAGTGGTCGGCACCCCAATACATTAATATGATTTAAAAGCATTAGTGTTAGTAACGAATAGCAGAAAGTAGGCTGTGAGCAGATGTGTGGCAGAGCTCGGGCAGAGAAATTTCCAGAGGATAGGGCCGTGCCGATCACTGATCTAGAATAACAGATCATTGTTAATAAATAAATAAACCAATAAATAAGATCTTATTTTCAAACCATATATATCAGGCAACATCTTTTTTATGCGTTATATTTTCAAA